CACATACAAATTCCCCTCAAGCATGTTCCCTCCAGTTCCATTTATTAGTCAGCCTGATACATTCATGCCCATCGCTGCTTCCTAATGGAGTGGGGGCCGTTGTTACAAGCAAATTGCCTAACTGCTCTCTCTTCCCACAGCTATGACTTTGGTTACGGGAACCTATTATTAGACAGATATATAAAAAAAAAGGGAGAAGGCCAATTAATCCCCACTGACACACTGCTATGCTTTTTGGTGCGACCTCCCCTGACAATAGGCATCCTACTCAGAAAGCAGGCCTAAAACTACCAGCTACAGCAGCAGGACTGTTCACATTTTGCTCGTTCCTTGGTTCTACAGGCAGGTCTGAGGCAAACAGGGCAAGAGGAAATGGTACTTCAGTTACAGGGAGAAAAAACAGGCAAACGTCTTTTGCAGAGTGAAGCAGCACAACCCCCTATTTTCATAAAAGTTCACTGGATGTAACGGTATGCGGGCATGACCTTGGGAGACAGGAGGAAGAGCCACAGCCTAGAGAACCACCATGCAGAAGGTTTGTGCTTCTTGGCTGGACTACCTGGAAGGGCCAACATTGGATGAGAATGGCTTCTGATATACAGTGTTCAATGCTTCATCTGCTTCGCTTGATGTCTAACAAAGGAAACTATTAGCTGCTCCGGCTGCTGAAAGTCACTGCCCTTCCTTAAAAGTAACTTTAAAAACAAGGCACACAACAAACTCTGTTTGTTGACAAGACAGAATATTGTCCCACTCTGTAAACACAATAATCCAGCCAGTAACTGTTCCTTAGACTTTTTGAAACTAGTCAGCTGGTCTGACCAGGCAATAAGTCATGCTACTTAGTGAGAAATTGACTATAAACAGATGAGGAACAAAGGCAGTTAGCTGGAATTCTAAAATCAGGCCTCTAGAAAAGACTAGATTCCATAGAAATGAATCATTCATACTACTACTAATAATGGTATGCATAGTGCTTTTGTTATTTTTAGTTTTAAGTCAGGACACAGATGATATCTATGTTTTGTGTCTAGCTATCTCCAACACTGAACAGTTGGAAGGTAGAAACATACATAAAAACCAGTAAAAAAAAGCCTGCCCACCTGTCTTACAACATGAACCAGGATGAAACCTATTTCCTTTAATGATGTATGGTAAAGTTTGGGAAATACTAATATTACTAGTAGCGGTTTCAGTTGACTTTTCCTAATACTAAGAAGAGCCCAACTTGTAGTCCTCTTTAGTTTGTTCTCTCTCAAACTTGGGAAATGGGCACACATGATCCAGCATGGAGAGCAGACCAATCTGTGGGCTGGGCAGAATATCCAGTGAAGTTTAGTTTCAGATCAAATAGTTTATTAACTTCCCAGGAAAAAAGGAGTGGAGTAAAAGCACAAGAAAGTAGCATTCAAAACTAAGAAAATCAAACAGTTCTACATTATCAAGACTACTTAGTCTTGCAAATGCAAACATCTTTTCTCCAAGTAGACCTACCATATCTGGGGTGCAAAAATCTGCAGGGTGCTGGCAAGGAGACACAATAACCTCTATGTCTTTGCTACTGACCATCTGGATATTTGCAGCCCAGATATTGTAGACTTATCTCCAACCTAACTCCATTTTATCTTTCTTAAGAAAGGAAATATTTCCTAATCAACCCGCCTTCTCAGAAACACAGTAGTTAGAAAAATAGAAACAGGTTTGACCTGATCCTGTAGAATGATTTTAATACAAGCAATATTAAGGCATTGTAAAATGCACGTGCATACAATATAAACAGCGAACAAATTTACCCTGAAGAGGGACTTGGGGACAGCGGAAACCAGTTTGCCTAGGAGGTGGCATACCTATGTTTGTAGACTAAGTTCCCCTAAGTACTGTAGTTCCTACAAAAGTTAATGTAATACTTGACTACATACAGTGGTACCTCAGTTCACGAACTTAATTCGTTCCATGACTCTGGTCGCGAACCGAATTGGTCATGAACCGAATCAAATTTCCCCATAAGGTTCAAT